CTCCAGCCTGGCCCCGGGGACGGGGCGGGGGGGGCGAGGGCTGCCCCAGGCGCGGGGCACAAGCAGGAGCCGCTGGTGTTGGGGTGACCCGACAGCATCGGGCGACGCGGAGCGACGCTGCTCTTCCCACCGCAGGATCAGCTCCCAAAAATTCCTCACCCAAGCTGGAGCCGAGCGTTTTTCCCGACTTCCCGTGGGCAAAAGCGCCTTTTTTGGAGCACGTAGGCATTAACGAGGGGGCAGGAAAATGCCAGAGACACTCACAGCAAAATCCTACGGAGGTTTATTCCCTTCCTGTATCTTGGATGGAGCCGCCGACCCGGCGTCAGCGATGGGTGAATAACCCCTGGTGTGTCCTGAGGTCCTTTTAAACTTTAATTTTTTTTTTTAACACCGGTGAAGGTTATTTCAGGGGTGAAGTGGGTGGTCGCCGGGGCAGTGCGAGCTCTTGGCTTTATAAACCTGCGTCTCCTTTTGCTGGCGGTTAATTCGGTTACAAACCGGTTTAGAACAGAAGAGTTTGGGTGGACGGGAGCTGCAGCCATCACCCTGCCCTCCAGGGCTGCCCAAAAATGAAAAAATAGCATGAAATAATCTTAAATAATATAAAATAAGGGCGAGCAGCTCCCTCCTGCAGAGCAGCCGTGGGGAGGACACGCTCACCTCTGAGAGCCGCAGCAACGTGTCAGGGACCGGCGGCTTTACCCGGGGTAGGGAGGGCAGGGATGGGAAAAGCCAGGGAAACCTTTCCTGGTTATCCCGAGCAACCAGCGGCTCTTCCCAAAGGCCGTGACAGCTCCTCGGCTCCCCCACAGGGACGCGGTGACCCGCCAGCAGCTCCGGGGGCCGGCAGCGGCGAGCGGGGGGCAGAGCGGCCCCGCCTTGGCACCCGTCGCCTCTCCATGCGAACCGCGGCCCAATGGATGCGATCGCCAGCGCCGGCCTCAAGAGGAAGTTTGAGGATGCGGACGTGGGCTCGCCCGGCTCCAACTCGGACGACGAGATCTCCAACAGCGACAGCGCTGACAGCTGCGACAGCGTCAACCCCTCCAGCTCCACCGGCTTCATACGTGAGTGCTGGGGGCAGCCCGGCCCTGTCCCCAGCCTCCGGGGGCCTCTGCCCTTCCCCGAGCACCAGGGAGGGAGTGGGGCTGGCTCTGCCCTTCCCCACTGTGGGGCTGGTTCTGCCCTTCCCCAGCGTGGGGCTGGTTCTGCCCTTCCCCAGCTTGGGGCTGGTTCTGCCCTTCCCCAGCGTGGGGCTGGTTCTGCCCTTCCCCAGCTTGGGGCTGGCTCTGTCCATCCCTTATACCCTGTTTGGTGACAATCAGGGCTGATCTCCCCAGCCCTATGAGTCCAGGTTGTGCCCAACCCAGGGGAATTCAAACATTGACCCCAAATGGATTGTCCAAGGCCCATCCTGGACCGTTCCTCCCCCCCTCCCTGCATTGGCCCCTGCTGAGGTATTTTGGTGGCTGACAGGGGGTGCCTGGGGGGTACCTGGGGTCGCTCTGGGGACCACTGGAGGGCAGAGCCACTGTCACCCAGAGTCACCTCGAGGCCACCAGCACAAGCTGAACCTGCCCCTGGGGGCAGCCACTTTCCCATGGGGCAGGCGGACTGTGGCTCCCCCAGGGGGATGTTTTGCTCCTGACAGCCCCTCTCTGGCTTCCCCCACCACAGCCACCTCCATCCTGAAGCGGCAGAAGCAGCTTCGCAGGAAGAGCGTCCGCTTCGACCAAGTCACCGTCTACTACTTCGCCCGGCGCCAGGGATTCACCAGCGTCCCCAGCCAGGGCGGCAGCTCCCTGGGCATGGCACAGCGCCACAACTCCGTCCGCCGCTACACGCTCTGCGAGTTCGCCCAGGAGCAGGAGGTGAATCACCGGGAGATCCTGCGGGAGCACCTCAAGGAGGAGAAACTCCACGCCAAGAAAATGAAGGTATTGCCAGGGAAGGGGGCGAGGCGGGTGGCTGGTGAAACCCAGGTGATGCCGTGGTCAGGAAACACGGAGCTGAGCTTTGGTGGAGCTTGGGGATGAGCCAGGTCGGAGGAGAGAGATCCAGGCTGGCACTTCACATCAGGGAGTGACCAGTAAATTTGTAGATGGCACCAAGTGAAGCGGGAGAGTTGATCTATAAGAGGACAGGGAGGCTCTACAGAGAGACCTGGATAGTTGGGATCAGTGGCCAACGTGAAGGGGATGGGCTTCAGCAAGGGCAAGTGCCAGGGCCTGCACTTGGGCCACAACAACCCCCCGCATGGCTACAGGCTCGGGGAGGGGTGGCTGGAGCTGTCTGGGAGAGAAGGGTCTGGGGGTTCTCACTGACAAGCAGCTGGATAGGAGCCAGCAGTGTGCCCAGGGGCCAAGAAAGCCAACGGCATCCTGGCTTGTGTCAGCACTAGTGTGGCCAGCAGGAGCAGGGAGGTGACAGTCCCCCTGTGCTCTGCACTGGTGAGGCCACACCTGGAGGGTTGTGTCCAGTTTGGGCACCTCAATCCCAGAGAGATCTGGGGGGGCTGGAGCGAGGGCAGAGGAGGGCAACGAGGCTGGGGAAGGGCTGGAGAATAAATCCTGTGAGGAGCCAGGGAAGGAGCCGGGGGTGTTCAGGGTGAAGAGGAGGAGGCTGAGGGGAGCCCTCATCCCTCTCTGCAGCTCCTGACAGGACGTTGTGGAGAGGCCGGGGCTGGGCTCTGCTCCCAGGGGATCAGGGACAGGACAAGAGGGAACGGCTGGAAACTGCCCCAGGGGAGGGTCAGGCTGGGCAGGAGGAGAAAATGTTTCATGGAAGAGTGGTCAGAGAGTGGAACAGGCTGCCCAGGGAGGGGGGAGTCCCCATCCCTGGGGGGGTTTAAGGGCTGTTGGGATGAGCTGTGGGGGATGTGGGGTAGGGGGGATGTAGAGTTGGGCTGAGGGTTGGACTCTGTGATCCCGGGGTGCTTTTCCAATCTGAATGATTCTGTGATCAGCTGTGGATGGATTTATCACCACTAGGTTCTTTTTATTTCTTCTGCCTCTTTTTTGTGTCCCTTCTGTGCCCGCAGGCAGGGCCAGCCGGGCAGCGTCAGCCTGTGCTGGGCTCAGAGCTATTGGCCAAACCTCACCAGGTCTGTGCTGGTAGAAATTCCAGTCTGGGAGGAGGCGGCCGGGCTGGCGGGGGCAGCCCAGGATCTCCAGCAGGATCTGGGCGGCTCTGCCTGTTTTTTAGCCCCTCCTCAGGCTGGGGCTGTGCCTCAGGCAGTGCCCTGAGGCTGAGCTCTGCTCGCTGGATGCTCTGCAGAGCCTGTGATCCCGGTTTCTGGGCAAAGGGATGCAAAACCAGACGGCTGCCTCGTTATTTTCTTTATTTTTCCCCTTTTTTTTTAAACATAGGCTTTCGCAGCAGCTCCTCAGGAGGCCCTGGATCTCTCCAGGTGCTGCCTCTGTGTCTGCCCGCTTTCAGGGGGCTGGGGGATCCTTCAGTGCCAAAATCTGGGGGTATTTGAGTGTGTGGGGAGGAAGGACCAAAGCAGGGTGATGCGTTTCCCCTCCATTGCCCCTCTGTTGCTTTCAAACCTCCTTTTCCCCGTGGGGATTCTCTGCAGCTCCACTGCTGCTGCCATTTTCCCCAGACTGGTGTTTTAAGCAGCTGCAACCTCCCTTTTTCTCACTATTATCAGGACACTGTGGTGGAGAGAAGACAGAAAAGGGATTCTCTATTCTGAATTCTTCTTTTAGTATTTTTTTTTCCCTTCCCTTCTACAAACTGCTGCCAGCCCACCTGCAGCCTGGCTGGGGGGGAATCGCACAGGGATGACTCTGGGGGGGTCTCAGCTCACGTGCTGGACCCTGCTCAGAGCTGGGGGGCAAGGAGGGCTCTGAACTGGGTGGTGGGTGGTCGCTGGGGGACCAGGAGCTGGATGGAGGGACGAGCATCCTCCTTCCTGCCTCATCGCCGGGGTTCGGCGTCCCCCCAGCTGGGCGCTGACTCTGCCCCCCCGCCCCCCAGCTCACCAAGAACGGCACGGTGGAGTCAGAGGAGGCGGACGGCCTGACGCTGGAGGACGTCTCGGACGACGACATCGACGTGGAGAACGTGGAAGTGGACGACTACTTCTTCCTGCAGCCACTGCCCACCAAACGGCGCCGGGCTCTGCTGCGAGCCTCCGGCGTTCACCGCATCGACGCCGAGGAGAAGCAGGAGCTGCGGGCCATCCGCCTGTCCCGGGAGGAGTGCGGCTGCGACTGCCGCCTCTACTGCGACCCCGAGGCCTGCGCCTGCAGCCAGGCGGGGATTA